AATTTGGCTTGTAGTCCATAAAAGGTAGCAACTCTCCAATAGACCAATGATTTTAATAGGTAAGACTAAGAAAAATGACAAATGGGAGGAGAATATACACAGGTTGACAAGCCAAAAATTCTTTCATACAAATGCTGGTCAAGGCATGTTATAGGCTACCACTTATAACACTAGGCCTATTTTCAAAATAAGCACAAATACAAAAAACATAGGACAATAATGTTCTGAAAGTATTGCATGTGTTCTGGCGCTTTGTTATTACAGTTCTGAGAACAAAAAACTAATAGCATGTTAAATAAACAGAACTGTTCAAAAATCAGCCACCATGGACGAGCACACACCTGTGGCGATCATAATCCCTGGAACGTTCCCTTGACCGCGACCTGTGGCGACTTCTCGAATCATAATTGCGGGAGCGATCTGAATCTCTGTCATGTTCGCGATCATATCTGCGATCTCGATCATAGTATCTATCATGATCTCTGCTCCTACGATCATGATCCCTACCCCGGTCGCGGCTAGCTCCGCGTTCTCTATCCCTACTTAATTCCCTGTCCCGATCCTTACTTCGCTCCTTTGATCTACATGGTAAATATTTGAAGAAGATAAAAAGAATAGTAATTATAAGAACCTAACATAAAAAAAATACATGATGTATAAAAATTTATGAGAGTAAAAGAACGAAAGAACATACCTCCTATCATCAGACCTATCGACCTTACGACTCTTGTTTCTCTCTTCCTGAAAAATATACAGCCAAGAAAGTACAATTGGCAACCCTTTTGTTAATAGGATGGCATCAAATACGAAATCTCTTGATGGAGAGATATAACAGGGTCATATTTGGGAAGCAACATTTAAGATCAGCATTAACAGGGTCATAATGGGGATGCTTACTAATAAGTCAACATGTAAAATTCTTCACAGTGGATTAAAAATCACTTAGATAAAGATATCATCCCTTTTTCCACAGTTTTCATTTGGTTATTATAGGGAATGCCAAATATAGATGGTGACTACAACCAAACGGGTGTATTGTGTACCCACTCTCAAAGGTACACAAGCTATGTTCTAACATACTCCTAAAATTCTTCAAAAAGGAAAATACTTTGTCGGTAGTAAACTTACTAATATCAAAGCAGAACTTAAACAGTGTGGCCTCAGTACATGATACAGTGAGGAAGGTCATTCCTAATTCATAACCACGATATGTTATGCATGCACCTTTCTCAAAGATGACGCTGACAGAAAACATCCTACAACAAAAAGATATGAATACATCCTTGTAGAATATTACAATTTTTTTCCCCAAAATGCTTCGTAATCTTTAAGGATATCTTGACAATTGCAAGACTTGGATTCAGATTCAATAATTATATAACAGTGAAAAAGATGGTTGAAAAATTTATACTCACAGATACCATATTTATGAGAATCTCTATAGATTTGAAACATAATACCATAGCACCTGAACCAACAGTTTCAGAATACAACCTTAAATAAATTCAAAGATTCTGCAGATAAAAATGTAATACTATGACAATATATTTTCAGATCTACTTTTCCCAAAATGCAGAAACATATTTGTCAGAAACAGTATCCACTATCCAGTACAAATTTTCAGTTCATCCACCCATTTTTTACCCACCAAAAAACAAGGAATAAACCAACCTAATATAAATTCATATATTTACAAAATGGATCATCTTTACCTGCAGCTCTGCTAACTTCTCACGGATTTGCATATAGCCTAAATGAAGCTTCCCGCCAAAGTGATCAGCTAGCCGACGGTCACTGAAAAGCACAACAACAAAAATCAGAATATTCATTCAATTTAGAAATGCAATAGCTCCAGCAGGTCATGTTCATGTACAGTACAGATTCCCCTTAAATTTCTAGCCAAGAATAGCATGATCTATAAACATAAAACAGAAATAGACGCACATTCTTTAGCTGCAAAAGTTATCCTCGTAAAACTGGGCACAAGAGCCTGCTGGTGACAAGGAGGCATAATCGTAGGGTCAAAAGCTGAAGCACTTGAAACCCCAATACTAATTTTTGTGTACCTAGGAAAGCTAGTAACTAGAGTAGCAAGCATGACTAACAAATCAACCTTTACCTGTCATAAACACTCAAAAATGCTCCACAGATATCACATACGCGTAGCTTTTGATCAGTCTGTAACAACACCATGATGAACAAGTTAAGAGTTACTTGAAAGAAAATAAAACAAGAAGCTTACAAGTACAACCCTGATATTAAATGAAAATCTACTTCTCACACTTGCCCAAAGTGACATCTATGACTATATATAAAGGAAACATGAACTCACAATTCGCACATCAGCAGCAGTGTACTTGGAGGAATCCAGGATAGGCTCTTGTCTCGCAGGCAGCTAAATAGAGAAGAATGAAGTCACTCCGAAGCCATTGACAGGAAGTAAAAAAGAACACAAAAAATGCAAAACTCAGAACAAAAGAACGATGTTAAAAGGTTAGTAGAGTAGGTGAACCACTTAACTACCATCTCAAAAAGATTATTATCTTATCTAATATACCTTCTTCAGTGCTTCAGCCTCTTCCAGTGCTTTTTGTGCCTCATCAACCATACCTTGCTCACCTGAAGATGTTAAAGAACTTTAGGGACAATATATGACCTGATTCTTAGAGCAGAAACTAGCCCAAGATGTATCAGAGCATTAACTAGTTAAGTTACCAAAGTCCTTACCCTGAACTTAATGAAAAGATATGTATTATCAATTGATAAAACCACATGATGGCCATAATCCTGAAAACTTGAGTATTATTTTCACTTACCAAGGTCCTCTGCCTTCTTCAACTTTTCATTTATCATTTCCTGTGTTCGAGCATCAGGAACAACTACGGGCAATGGTGCCAAAGGAGGTGGATTTGGTAGGGGTTGTGGTAAAGCTGCCCGATCCTTATTGAAAGCGTCCAAAAGTAATGTGGACTATTAACAGAAAAAATATATATATAAGTTAAGGTGGACTATGAACAGAAAAATAAAAATATACACAAATATATATATATATATATATATAAGTTAAGGTGCTGACAATCTTGTCAAGATGTCCACTACACCAGGGAATACTATACTGGAACAGCGCAAAAGACATTTGAGTATACAAATAAATTTGCCAAGAATCTACTATGGACCTGTTTATCTGCTCTATTGCCTCTGAGTTCTTCTACAATCTCCAGAGCCCGAATCTTAAGATCTGTCTTGCCTTCAAGATCTGCAGATTTGAATCACAAAACAAAATTTCTAGTACATATTCAAGAACTGAAAATATACAAGAAACTGAAGTTTCATAAATAAAGACAAACTGGAAACAAAGGGCTTGAAAACATAAGATCAGCAGTAAAAATAACCGTGGAAACGTAGTATAAATGTCAAACTTTACTTATACATATTAGTGACTCATTGACATTAACGCATTAACCAATCTCAAAAAGCAATGAGAAGCATCTATGTATTGTTAATAAACACACACGCACACACACAAAATCCAAGCAAACCAAGAAAGGGCATGCTTGTTTTGAAATAGCAATCTGGAAAGAAGAATAATAATAAAAGCAAAAGAGACATCAGAAGCTACGGAGCAAGGAGATAAAGGTTACCATATTGATCAACTTCTTTCAACTTCTCCTTGATCTGCTTTGACAACTCAAGTATCTCTGGTGTCTGGAATTGCAAAACAATCAATAAATAGGCAATCATAAGATTCTTTCACCTTATATGCAAAGAAAAGATTAAGATAAAAGATTGAATGATGGATCACCTGAGTAACCTCAGAGACAGAAATGGCAATAGCAGCCTTGGCATCGTCATCCTCGAGGCGCTTCAGAGCTCTATTAATTTTCCTATCACACTCAACAATGAGCCTATCTATGACATCCTCCAGGTCTCTGTCATAGTTATCAGTCCCATTCGCTTTCGCTTCTTCGTATCTGGGTTAGAGTTAAGCTTCCCTACTGGTACCATCGAATTGTATAAACAACACCAGTTCATTCAAAATTTCAAATGCACATCGATTATTAAATGAAATTGAAGCAAGAAATTGCATAAAAGGATACTCTTTCCTGAGCTGCAAAGAGTGGACCTTAGGGCACGGACCCATATCCATTTTCTGAAAACAAAAACAACAAACGCCGTCAAGGTTGACGATTACGGCAAAAGGCCTTGTGCTACTAATCAAAAGAAGCCAAGGGGCTTAGTTTACCGTTAACTGGAAAAGCTCGTGGGGGCAGAGGCCGACCAAGTAGAGGCGACACACATCACGATCGTAATACTTGCGGTTGACCTCCCGGACGTCGCCGTTTCGGTTGGCCCCCATGAGCTGGTCGAGCTGCTTCCTCAGCGCGTCCATGGCCGCTCACACTCCCTCTCCAGTCGTCGTCCTCGACAGCTTTGGAATGGTGGATTCTTCAGTTGGCGAGTTGGCGTGTTGGCTTTAATCAGAGAGAGAGAAATTAGGGCTCGTTTGCTTCGGATTTGGAGAGTTTGGGGGAAAAGAATACCAATGAGGACTTGGATTGTATTTTTCAAAATTTATTTTACTGATATGCCCTCGTGAGTTAATATATTTACATTCAGCCCAGGCCCATTACGATTTTCACTCTTTGGGCCTATTATCGTTCTTCTCATGAATGGTTTGGAGTGAGGTGCTTAAGCACCCTGAAAAAAAATTATCAGGATTTTAGACGTTTGGTAAAATAAAAAAAAATGATTTATTTTGGAAGTTACTGTGAGAATAAACTGAAATCAAAAGAAAAAGCTGAAGCTGCTATTTGCAGCTTTGGAAAACTGGCTTTTTTTCAGAGCACACGGAGCTACAGTGCTCCTTTAATAAAAAAACTCACTATCTGCTTTTTTTTTCTAAAAGCACTTTTACAAAAAATTTTACTAAAGTGATTTATTTCACAATTATTCTCACAAGAGAGCCCTTATTCTCACGATAACTTTTTTTCAAAGCAAGGCATTACCAAACCAGCCCTCGCTCTCTCACCCACAAAAGTCACAGACTTCAACTGAAACTCGATGGCGCTCTCTCTCTCCTCCTCTCGGTCGTCCCAGTGGCGGTTGATCTTCGTAATCTCCGCCGTGCTGTCTACTACAGTAGCAGCAGCTTTCCAATCCGATGAGCTCTTGATGGACGACGAGGAGTTCGGTCTAGAAGGAGGGCTGCACACTAAGTCTCCTGATCTCACATACACCAAATCCACGCCTACGCCAGCATCACCAACTACGTCGCCGACCCGGAAGAGGTTTTCGGATCCGGATTCGGACTCAAAGATCCAGTTTCAGCTTCATCACGCCTTTGGAGACTCTGATTTCTCGCCGGCTGGTACCTTCAGTGCTCGCTTAAAGACGTGGAATCACGGTGGTCAGGTTGGTTGCTTCCTTCTTTTTAGTTTTTTTTTCTTGTATGTTTTTGTTGCTCAGAAAAGGAGGAAACTTTTGTGTGAATGAGAGAGTTTTCAACTGCAGGTTTTGCCGTTGGATTTGGTTGTCATTGAATTGAGGTTCTGGTGGTTGAGGATTTGAGATCGGAATTCGATGTTTTGAACTGGATTTGTTTCTCTTGTAAACTGGTTGCATAGAAATTTAGGCGAAAACCAAAAAGAAATGAATGTATTGTTGATCAATTCTTTGGGTGCAAGGCAATGGATGCAAGTACATGATGATGAACTTGGGAATTTTAATTTACACTAGCAACTTTAGCACCTTTACGAACACAGTGTCAGGCGTAGTAATTCCTACTTAAACACTCTCAGGCCTTGTATATCACTTTATCTTTGTAGAAACCTACGATGTAGCTTAACTATAACATGGTTTTATTGGTCACAGACTCTCACAAAGCTACGATTTTCGAGGAATGCCTTTACCGAAGAGGAGAAGGAGAAATTTGCAGTAAGCTTTCTCCCCTAAACCTGGGTCCTTTTTGCTTTTACCATTTCAAATTGGTCTCTGTCTTGACTTGAAATGACAATGCTTTTCTTGCAGCTGCTACTGAAGGGAGATGACTTCTATAGGATAAGATTGCCATCCAGCGTCTTGAATCCTCCTGGGAGGGATTATGTCATTTCGTCAGTAAAAGCGGCAAGTCTTAAGCACCCTCTCTTAAGCAAGGATTTTCTTCTATTATTTCCAGCTGATCGTATATTTTACTAATTGTTTTCTTTGCACCAAGTTGATATTTGCAATGAGAAACTATGCTTGAAAAAGAAGTTCCTGAAACTTTTTTTTTTTCTTTCTGTAAGAGGAACTTCTTTCTATCATAAATTACTACTGTAACAGCATTCTGGGTCTACTGCTCTCTCTGATGGTTTTATGGTTGCATATAAATGTGATTAGTAAAGCTGTAGGTTTACTAACAATGTTTCAAAATATCCAGAGATGTCTTCCACGAGAGGGTTTGGATGAGCATTTTGTTATACACACGGTAACTTTCAACTTTGTTCAAGTTCTAAACTCTTGCTGTTGTTTTCTCATGCTACCCTTTGGTTTTACTTCTAAACTCTTTATTGTATCAGTCATTGTAATCATAATAGGAACAGTTCTAAGAATGTTCTCCAATCGGCATGCTTTTCAAATTAGAACCAGAGGCAAATGGAACAAAATCTTGGTTAAAACTTTTTATCATCTGGAATTAATATCTTTGATTAAATTTGTTTTTGCAGGATGAAATTAACATCTTGGCAGTTAATTATGGTTCTCCTGGGGCATGTCCATATCCTCGGCAAATGAAACTTGTAAGTTAGGATCAAACCTTTTCATCCTGGTCTTTTTGTCAATGAACCCTATTTTTGAGGATGGAAATAGTTTTGTTGAATTAGCTTACCTTAATCCAATGGCTTTTGTTATTTGTATTTTCAGCCTGGAAAATGGTCCTTTAACTCTCACACGGTTTTGAAGAATAGTGAGCAGGCACCAAGGTGATTCTTTTGCATTTGTTCTTTTTTCAATATATGTTCAGATTCTGACTTGATCTAGTTTCTTAAACTCTTACAGAATGTTTTTAATTATTTCAACATCTGTTAGTGGGAAAATGGTGAATCTTATTATAGAGTTCCCGGTGCATTTGATATCAATTCTGTTGATTTCGGATGTTTCCTAAGGATGGATAGAAATGCAGCAATTGGCATTTGATCTGATAATATTTATAACTTTATCATTATGTTTTTATTTGGTGAAAAATCATTATGTTGATCATCAGGTCTTTGTGAATGCCCTGTAATTTAATATTTTATTGCCAAATGTTTCCTCAGAGCTCCAGTGTTCGCTGAGGAGATTCTGCGGGTTGGGGGTGAGGTAGGAGAAGGTGAAATTGTACCACCACCAGAAAGGTCGTTTTGGGCTAAATATGTGAGTATCAACAGAATTAATTGTCTTCATAGCTTTCTTCTGTTAATTGTGTTCATAGTATCGAAAAAAATAAATTTCTGACCGTACTTAAATGTTATCAGTGGATGTACCTGATCCCTCTTGGGCTCATTGTCATGAATGCGATTACTCAAGCAATGAACATGGCGGAGGAGGGTGCTGGTCATCCAGCAGGCCAAGCTCAGCAGCCGGCTGCAGTGCAGCGTGGGTCAAGTTCCGCTGTGCGGAGAAGATAGTCAGTTTGCTCATTTCTGTTTAACAATGTGGGGGCACCTTAAGTGAATGACATTTTAGGTTCGACCTTTTGATTGTATTAATCCCATGGGGACCAACACGAGGTCGTAAATTTTTAGTAGGTTTGTTATAATTTGCAATAGATATTGGAAGGTTGAATTGGTGGAGATTTCGGGATTAGAATAGTAGAGAATTGTGCAGGTATTTTCATAACTTATTGTGTTTATTGACACTTGATAGAAAGTAAAGAAATAACTGTCACAATGATACTGCAAGCTATTAACTGTAACCATTGTTGGTAACTTCATGAATTTGGCAGAAACAATTGGCATTTCTCGGAACCTGAAAGTAGTTACTAATTATCGGTGGTGCCGTGTCGTCGGCCACCATGGAGGCTCATATAGGAAGGCCTCTTGCCAACACCGTCTATCAAACACCATTCCAGTCCATTCACTTGATCATCTTCTTTCTTCAACTCCAAAACACTCAAGAAGCATAGATGTCTCTAATGGACTATCTCCACCTAGATGGTTTAACAACTGGCACAACCGCATAACCTCGCCCCGGCTCTCACCTAGGCACTTACTAGTTTGCTGCTTCTCCAACCATATCCTTAGGCTCGGGAATGAAATGACAGTAGTATTTCTGATGATCGATGTTGGTAATGTGGTTGCCACAACCCGGCCACTACAACATTCCATTGTAAATCATACTTGCAGCTGAACGGAAACCAGTACTCGGTATTAAAGATTTAACTCTTTCCATTCACCCGTCTGGGAAGAGAACATCTCCACGTTGAATTCATAGGGTGTAAAACTGCTCGGAAGGGAATTCGCACCACCCTGCACCTGTACTCGGCATTAATCGTCATGTCACTACTACCAGTAGTATTCGTACCTTTAAAACAGTAGGGATCGCAGATTAATCCCACTTTCACTGTCTTGTGGGATCGAGGGGCGGGAGGAAGAACAACCCATTGCTTGGTGTATGGATTGCAAATGTTGTAATCACGTTGTTTATTCTCCATTGTGCAGCACAAAACTAAGTCATTGTACGTTGCTACAATAGCTGGACCATCATTGTCGTCGTCACCTAACACAAGTGCAGGCTTGCCGTCTTCACATTTAGGCTCATCTTGAGAACAAGGGAGGAAACTCAAGGACAACCCGCGTGATTTAAGCCTTTGAAGTTTGGACATGGTGGGGAATTTGGAATTATACGATGGCTGAGGATGAGGATAATTTGTAAACATATCATGGAACAGAAGAGTACATATAGTTGGTGTTGCCAATCACTTTGGAGACATAGGAAGCGGGGAATAAAAGAAAGATTAGAGATAAGAGCGAACCAACGGTTGGACACGGACTTGGAGATCATCAATCCTTCTCATGGCTCCGCACAGACTCGGAGACAACTCATTCTCATTGTTATGTATTTATATAGAGTTGGGTAGGGTTTATTCGTAGACGGCAGAGAAGAGGAAGGAAGGAGACTTGCATCACAAGAAAGGAAATGATCAACTATATAGAAATAATCAAATCCTAAAGAAGAGTCTAGGTAACGAAAGCGACTATCCATTAATTCCTTGGTAAGCACGGCGAACACGATGCCATGTGTTAATCTTATTCTACATAATATTGTGTTATTTGACCGAGACGCCATTGTGGACGATGTTCTGATCCATCTAAGTCTTTCTCCTAGGTAACAGTATGAAATCAATTGGAAAGTCAGATACTCCTAAACCTATATGGCATATTTACTTAGGATTGATGTTCCACTCAAATTATAACACGAAGATTGGTTTTTTATTTGTAAATCCTTAAAGTGAGACATGTAAACCCTATTGTCAACTCTTAAAACTCAAGGAATCATACACCACATAGCTTGTGTTCCGGGACCATAAAAATCTCTCGTTTACTTAACATAATGGGACTCCTAAGTTCCCCGATTCTTGCCTTTGTGTTTTACTCTAGTTACGATTTTAGCATATTCGGTAGCTGCAGAATGAAAAGGAAAGAAAAAATGCAGAGAAACAAAGCCAGGCTTGTGAGGCGGGCAGCTGCTACTTGAGTATTTATGCAAAATACATTGTCCATGCATACATTCAGAAATAAAGTTTACACGAACAAGGACATTGTAAAACAATGACATATAAAACTTGAAAAAGAATGACTGCATTTCTTGAGAACGAAGACAGAAAAAAGTGACCGTCAATCTCTTCAAAACGAAACCAAGAGGAAGATGGAGGCCGGAGGAGACCCAATCATAGCTCGTCCTGCAACCGCAGACCAATCCATAAATTAATTTTTACAGGTGCAATAAAATCTTGAGTTTATTTATAGAGAGAAACATAGAGGGCATGAATATTGGTGCTTACATGATCATAGTGATCCCAATTACGGTGCTGCAAAATAAAACGCCCAAAGTTAGAAGTAGGCAAGAGAAACATTCAAGTTGCAACTTAATCACTGAGACTACGTCAATTGATTGCAACGAAATGTTCAATTATTGGATCACAGGGAGGGGGGATTCAAACTTGAGGCCTCTTTCAACATTAGGAAGAGAATATCATGAGACTGAGAACTAACTGGTTAGGCATGACAGGATTTGGATGCCTCTAATTGCAAAGGTGATCATAGAAAAATTTATACTGGATGGAATTTTTAAACAAATTATTAAAAACAATCAAACACACCCTTCGGTATCTGTCTCTATGTCTGTCTCGGCGACCTCGATCATAACCCCTCTCTCTTCTCCTCCTTTCTCCCTCTTCTCTTGCTCTTTGAGCCTCCTGCACGATCAGAGCTCAAAATTCTTGTGAATGGAATTCAACTAAGCCTGACAAGAAATTCTAATAACCATTTATTTCGGCCACAAACCTCTTCCTCCTGTGCTTTCCTCCTTTTTTCTGCTTCTTCAAAGGCATCCTTTTCAGCCTGAAAGGCCATAAGAGAAATGCATATGATAAACTATTTGCCAAAGAACTGGAAAATACTAGTAACAGTCAAAAGAGGCTTACCTCTCTATTGGCGAAGACTTCCTCGACCACTTGTTTTGCATAATCAGGATCATCACAAATTAAAATGTTGTCGAAAACTGAACCGGCCTTTACCTGCATCGCATAATTTCACCTCCATTAACATAATGAACTAATGACCATACGATCCTCCAGCAAATGGAAAACGTCCTACCTGCCAAACTTCGACACCAACATAATTAATTGGCTTAAGCACATAGAGATCAGGATCATCTTCAAACTCTGCATAGGAGAACAAAAAGGAACTGGCTCTCTTGTAATTATGTATACCAATATAGACAGATAGATTATTTAGTTATCTATTTAAACTTACCTGGATTATCAATCCAAGGAATCTTCCACTTCCCTTTGTAATTTGGGTTCTTGATTTTCTGACATATCAGAAGAAATCTAGTTATTTGATACTGCAAAAAAGAATTGACCTCCGGTTTTATCTGGTACCTCACAAAAGCTTAATCAACCTACAGTACCGACCTTGGGTCTCCATGGTCCTTTATAAGCTGGATTTGGTATCTTTGGAGCTTTCCACAGACCGTTCTCTTCATCATCCCATTCTTCGGGCTAATTAGAAGACGGGAAAATACAAAACTGCTTGATTAAATTTCATATCTTGCCATATGAATGCATCAAACCCCAAGAGGGAAACACTAAAATCAAACTAAAAAGGGGAAGCTAATATTTTAGATTACAAAGAAGGGTATAATAGTAGTCCAACATCAAAAAACCAAACAGATGTCGTATATAGTACAGCTCCGTAAGTAATCAACTAACCTGTTTTGCTTTTGGATCTGGAATTTCTCTCGGAATTGAATCATAACCCTGCAATACAAAGATATGCGTCAATAGTAGCACGTAATACATCCAATGAACAAATATGTCTTAGGCAGAGGGGGAAAAAGTTCCCATACCTCAGGTTTGATGTAATTGGGATCATCAATGTATTCTCTAAGATCCCAGTCAGCCGGCTATGATGGACAAAAAATGATGCTTATAAGTTAATTATGAAAAATTACGAAGATTAAAATTGTATAACTTAATTCTTCTACGAAATGGTTGCTCACAGGATTTCCTGGGGTTTGAAAACATTATCTTATAGTTAGAATTCCTTTTGGAATAAACATGTTTATCTACCTTCTTTGCAGTAACATCTTTTATCTTTCTTGGAGGAAGAATATCCCAATCTGTGTACATACTTCCAGAATCCTTTTCACGGTTGTCTATTAGGACACTATAAGTTGCATCAGGTCGCAGAATGAACGTGTAGAAATGAGTCAACTTGTCAGTTTCACACTGTAAATCCTTCTTGATGGGGTAATTCTGGCCTTGGTAGGAGACTATGACATGGAGCTTCTTTGTGTCCGTGCCGCAAATATCGGGACCAAACATTAAACTACAAAAACAAAGTCCAGCAAACATTCAGAATTTGGAAAAGAGAAGAAGAAGGAAGAACATCATATAAACAGGCAATCCGGGCTCGTATATGTCGGCAATTTCCATGGTATCAGATACCAATGAAAATTCCCTGTATGAAGTATGAACTATACAAAGAAATTTGGGGAACCTCATCGTGGCATTTCTGTCTCCTAAATTTTAAAAAGGTTCCCTTTGATTAAGACACGAGTTTCAAATTGCTACTATAGCATGATCCTGTTTCATGCAACTGACTACCAAGTGTTGTGGAATGGGATGTGGTTGATTAACTAAAAAGAATTTCTCCCCACACAACCTGGCCACCATTCGTGTACGGTATATATACACTGGCAAGTCGATATGGCTGCATTTGACTACTATGAAACTCTCATCATATGAAAAAACTACATCTAAACCGATTGTGCATGTACGAAGTCCCTTTCTACAACATTGTATTCTTAAGAAAGAAGGACTAGGCCATACGAACGTGCCTCGAAACATTTCATCCCGTGACGTAGAGACTGGAGAATTCTAACCTGTATGGAGTGTCCCCGCTGAATTTCTTCTGATTAACAAATCCAGACATGAGCTTTATGTAACCGCCACCACATTCAATTTCCTGCTCAAACTTGATCGAGTACTGGAGGACCAACGTCCTGTTCCTGTTGCTGAACTCCGGTATCTTTGCAGATATGGCAAAATGCTTGGCATCATTAGATGTCTGAATTCCTGCAAGATTTCGTATGCCATCGTAGATCAACACCACAGGTTTAACCACCTTGAATGTAAGTAAGTTATTACCAGCTTACGGCGCCCCAGCATTACAGTTTAAATTAATAGATAAAAATATAAGATAAGAATTGATAAATAATAAGAAACTAGCAGTGATTAATCAATAAATGGTAATCAGAAGATACCTTTATCATCGTGGTCACCGGACCACTTTCCGGCTGTGTGTTTAAAGGAACCTGCCTTACCTTCACTGCTTTTCCAGTCAGATGTCACCCAACGGCTTCGCCATTCGTCGTCTGATCCACAACAAATCAAGATTAACTGATTAATTTTCCGGTGGAATGAAAGATCAATTCTTGGTCTTACTTGTTACTTTTTTACACATGTTCAAGCACACACACAGTCAAGTCAACTAACTGTACAAAAGTTAGTTATTACAAGCTTAACGCGGACCAAAAAATTTAGTTATTTTGTCGACGAAAAAGAAAATCATGGATATTTTCTCATAGTCAGAGAGAGAGCTAGTGAAACTGGGAAATGGGAGATGCAAGTGTTGTACAGCAGAGAGAGAGAGAGAGAGAGAGAGAGCTGGTTGATAGTTTAGCATTCAGTTCAGCAGCAACCAGAATAAAGTTAGCAAAGTAAAAAAAAGCAACTAAAACCTCAAGTAGAAACTTATAATTATGTAGAAGTAGATAGATTGCAGCGATGGTTGGAAGTGGAAGGAGAGGAAGGATGGGTATATACCGTCGAAGCGCTCTTCGAAAATGATCTCTGAAAGTGAAGAACGAAAGCAAAAGGAGAGCAAGAAGAGCGACAATATTAGCAAAACCAGCTGCTTTTGCTGCTTCGCCATGCTTGCACAAGTGCAAAAAATGCAACGGCAAAAGCCAAAAGCAGCTTGGGAGAGAGAGCGTTTGTGTTTTTGGTTTACTTATAGCACGGACGCAAAAGCTGTGGCCTAAAGTCTCCCGTGTAATTTCGGCGATGACCTCCCCTTCTCCTTTCCCTTGGAAAATGGAAGACTAATTGACTTTGTATATTGTTGGTGGAGTCGTCGTGTGGGGTACAAGGTTAAAGCACCAACTTGGCCTCCCACTGAGTCTGCACCTGCCGTTCTGTTTGGTCAATTCAGAAAGAAGACCTTCTCTCTTGACTTGGACTTTTATATGTTTTGAACCAATCAGAGAAGAACGAGACGTTGCAGCACCCAATCAAAATTCTTAGAATTTAAATCTTGCTACATCATTTGTTCAAAAAAAATCTTACTACATCATAATTATTATTATTGTTGTTGGTAGTTATTATTATTATTATTATTATTATTTTGTTGTCGTCGTCGTTGTATGCATGAGAAATCCTCGTTGGTGCGGCCATTCGCCTGCACAATTACAAATTATATTTTATAGGTATTACTCATTGATTATTGTGTCTTGCTGCGTTAATATGATAATACAAAACTATAATTTACATTAAATTAAGGCTTTTAGCTACATCTCGTGAAACTAACTCTATTTTAATTTCACTTTATCTCTGTAACTTAAAAGCCAGGAATTTACTATTAAAACTTAAAATTCGTTTTACTTTGACTTGTGAACTTTATCTTCTTCCTTTGTTTCACTTAACTTGCAGACTCTTTATTCTCCCTGAAACTTAATAGTTCACCTCTGATAACATACCCAACACCCAATGAGGCAAAGTGAAGCGAATTTTGAGTTTCATCAAGTAAAATAACGACTTTTGAGTTACATGAAGCAAAATGAGATTAAAATCGAATTCCGGAGACGTAGCCAAAAGTAAGCCTTAAATTAATCTAAAATAAAGTTAAATTTGAATGCCAAGAAGAGGACACTCCTGTAGCCAACTTAACTAAACTCAAATTTGAATATAAAATTAGTCTTTCATTCGTTGCATTTCACTTAAAGTTAAGAAGTAACTAGTCTACAACTACAACGAGGAAGATAAAGCTCTGCAATTACTCATGAGAAACGACCATACAAGTTAGAAGAGCAAAAATCTTATATGGCACAAACCAAACCGAAGTATAGTTGTATAAGTTGTGGAAAAAGAGGGGCATTTAAGCTCTAGATGTAGTACATCCAAATTAATCAGAAAGGAAATCCAGCAATATGGTATAAACTAGGTACTCGAGGGTAAAGATCATGCAAGCTCTGTTTTTTTACCAAGCAAGCTGAAACCAAAAGCCACGGCTAATCGTCAACGGCAATGTTTAATAAGCAATAAACTCGATTGCTTTTATTTCAACAAAACATCAATGAAACAATCAAAGAGTTGTTTTCAACACACTTTCCATAAAACTGGAACCGCAACACTCAAGTTTTGAACATACCAAAAATACTACTCTCTTTAAACAGCATTCATAGGAGGAGCAGGAATCCCAAAATGGCACCTTTATAAAAATCCAAAAGTTCTAACAGCTAAACCCTTGCAGGGAACAGGAGAAAATTAAAAATGGAGCGTCATGCCTTTCCCCTACTTTGCCTGAGGGTGAGAAGAAATAAAGTCCACAGCCAGACCAATTGACTTGATCTTGTCAGCTTCGTTATCAGGGATCTCAAACCCAAACTCCTCTTCCAAAGCCATCACAATCTCCACAGAATCTAAACTATCCAACCCCAGGTCACTTTCGAAATTAGCATTTGGTGTAACCTACCAAAATAAGAAAAACAATGCGCAGGAGATCAGATTATTGAAATATAATGAAAATGCATTAATATAATGGCCTTATAAACGAAATCAGTATGAAATGTGAATGGACATGAGCACGTTCGAACATATAAGCACCAACTCAAGCAAAACAATAAGAAATACAAACAAGAAGGGGCCGCACTGTTATACTTGAGACATTCATCCTATATAGAAACTGATGCAAAAGCAAAATAGAGAAATACATTCAAGTCTTTGTGTAAGGTCAAAGAATAAAGACAAAAAAGAATGCTCATGAAATATCATACATTTACAACTATTAGTAACAGATGCAGGAATGAGAGCTCAGCTCACCCCCCATCTTTATCAACAATGTTAATCAATACTGTAACATTAGTGACAGAGTATATGATCTACGCCCCTCACATATCTATCCTCGTTGCACATATCTACTTGTGCATTTTTGTTTCTCATAAAAACAAGACAGCGGAAAACGGAATAATGTAATCGACCAGCCATTGCTGTTGCATTGGAAGAAATGACTTCATCGTCAGCCCAAAATTTGTAGAAACCCAAATAGCAATATTTCAATTCACCATCAATAGGCATACAGATGTTCTGTTTGTGGATATGGGTACATTCAATAAGATGCTATGACTGGACAGTGCAAGCAGCAAAAATTTGACGTTACCAAAAACCCTAATTATTCAATACAACGGATCTTACAAGTATAAAATCAACTCCTCATACACAAAATAACCACCCTTCACAACAACAACAACCAAATAACTACTAGTTCAAACTTGCAATTCATTAGAAAAATGGTTCCCACAAACATTCAATTCCATTTTCTGAGAAAATCGGAGGCTTTTATCTCAGTTATAGATAGATTGATATACCTTGGAAGGATCGACCTTCTGGAAGTTCTTGACGACGGAGACGACCCGATCGGTGACCTCAGATTTGTCGAGGAAGGTGCCCCTGACCTCCTCGGAGAAGAGACGGCGTCGGATAGCGGCAAAGGGGGAGAGGAAGAGAGGGGCGGTGGAGCTAGGGTTAGAAGGCACGGCTTGAACCTGCACTCTCAGGTGCTTGAGTAGTACGTTCCTCGCAGACGCCGCCATTGAGAGCTCTTTCTTCGCTCGTCCCTGCTGCTACTGCAGTATCAGTCGGCTACAGTATGAGGGCGAGAGAGAAATGGCCTTCTCTTTTCTGTTGGGTGAGACCGCGAGAGACGGAGAGAGCCACATTCTGGGGTCACACGTCGTCGTTCGGGTACAAAGTTGTTGGAAAATGTGGGCTTTTTCAGAGACGAATTAAAACACTACCCTCCAAAATCTATCCAGATCCAAATTGAAGTTGGGTTGGGCCGGAAAGGCAACCGAACAAGAAAGCAGTAGTATAACTGAACCGAACCCGATTTACCGGCAGCAGCAACCAATCCACTGGTCTCGACTCTCGAATGCTGGAGCCTGGAGTGGTGGTGAAAGGAAAGTGATGGCGATGGTGGTGGCGGTGATAGTCTTCGTTTCTCTGTTTCTGTTTGTTTTTTTAGCAATCAAATTTGCAACAGCTGATGGTATGGCATTATTATTCTTCCTTCTTCTTCCCAATTTCCAGTCTTCCCAATTTATTAATATTATCAAGGAACATGTATCTGTGAATTTCTGAGCTCTTACAAGCGTGTGCTGCAGGGGATTTTACTTTGACGTCCAAAGGCGGTGCGAAGCGCGACCAGATTGAAGATAAAGTAACCCCATTTTTTCATATCAATATCAAAAGCTTGTTTCTTTTCTTTTGATTTCTCTCTTCAAATCGGTAATTCTCATATTTCTTCAGGTTGTTTGGATAACTGGCGCTAGCCGCGGAATTGGTATCTCAGTCTTCTTCTTCGATTTTCCATCTTCAATTTTCTGCAGATTATTAGTTTTCGTAAAGCCTCAGTTACTTGTCCTTGTTATTGTCACCGTTTTCATACTTTTCATTGTTATTATCACCACCGTTTGTATCATTACTATTTTTCTGGCAACAATGACCTTGGCAGATGGTAAATGATGACAGTTATCAAGTACATGGACAATGTTTCCGTACATAAGTTTAGTTGTTGTAGCAACAAAATTGTATATTTGTCTGCTTCCCAATGGATAGTGCATATTATGTTGCTGCAATGTTACGTATACATTCACGAGGATGATTCTTTTATCTTTGTTGTGGTTTGTATCTGGTGAAAATTGCCCAAATACTTTGAACCAATGTTCCCCTCAATTTCGTCTCAATTGTCATTTTCCATGCGTAAACTTTCTCACTTTTCTCTCTGTAACGTTTGTATGAAGGGGAGATTCTTGCTAAGCAACTTGCGAAATTGGGGGCTAAGCTCATTATTTCTGCACGTAATGAAGCTGAATTGGAGCGTGTCAAGAGAGAACTGACTGGTCTGTTCTTTTATGGATAGCTATCATTCCTTTTTTAAGTACATCTCCCCTCTCTCTCTTAATTTGGTTAGCATGCCCAGGTAAACATGTACCTGATGGTGTAAAGGTTTTGCCATTGGATTTGGCATCTGGTGAAGCTCATCTCAAGGATGCTGTAGAGAAAGCAGAGTCCTTCTTTCTTAATGCTGGTGTTGATTATATGATCCACAATGCAGCTGTTGAGCGTCCTGTAAGTGGGCAATTCCTAATTTCTGAGTGTGAGACATTGTTGGTTATTGAGACAATCAATTGAAACACATAAATGCAAACTTAAAATTTGAAATTTAACTACTTATAATTCTCGTATGTTGGAGCACTTGTGTTTATGACAGGAGAAGTAGAAACTAATTAACTCTGTTCTTTTTGTCCTATGGCAGAAAACTTCAGCTTTGGATGTTACTGAGGAGAGTCTGAAGGTATCGTATGTGGAGTCCTTGGGTTGCTTGATGCTATATATATCTCTAAGAAAATTACCGGCTCCTATGGATCAATGAGCCATGTTTTGCTACTTGCCTTCCTTTTTATACTTTTAAAATGCTTATGTATGAAAGTGATCCTGTTTACTCCTTCTTGCAAGTAGGAGACATTCAATGTCAATGTTCTTGGGACACTAACGCTTACTCGGTTGCTAGCACCTTACATGCTGAGGCGGGGGAAGGGACATTTTGTTGTGGTAAGTTGAAAATATTGTTAAAATTCTCTGCCATACCCACTCATTTCATTGAAAAGATATATTGGATAAATTTTAATTAGTTTCAGCCGGACTTACACAATAGCTTTATGCAGTGCGACATGTGATTAGTAAAGAACCTAATGGATCGATACTTTTTATCCTGCACATGACTATCTCAAATGTCCAAGACTGTAGTTATGCTGACTACCTAGACATAAGTTAATAGGATTTGTCATGCATTCAAGTACATTAGGTACTTAGTTATTTGTTGGTGTTAATTGTCAGGCATATTCTCTTATTATCTTCATTTTGTGCTTGTTTTCCATTTTTGTTCTTCACCCTTCTTAGATCTTTTTTTTGTTTGCTTAAATTTATGTGCAGATGAGCAGTGCTGCGGGAAAGACACCAGCGCCAGGTCAGGCCATGTACTCTGCCTCTAAACATGCATTAAACGGGTACTTTCACACATTGCGTTCTGAGGTAAAATAGAATTTCTATGACTTGTATGTATTTCATATCTCATGAGCTAAATGGCATTAATACTTTGTCCCTTACGATGGACTAATTGTGACAGTACACGCTGCACTGGTAGTTTAGGATTTTGAGCAAAGAAATGGAATGGTAAAGATAGGAGACTTTAGAATGATGCAAATATCTAATAAGAGTGGAAAATCTTTACAATTCTCACTAATCAAAGTTCTCCATTGTATCTAGACTTAATAACGACACGAAGAGGAGTGGTGTGTTTATGCGTTATTCAAATGATTCTTATCAAAATTAAACTGTTAATATAACTACAATATCTGTTTGCTATATTTACCAAATGGTGCTAGTTCATCTTTCCTGAGTACAGCTGTGTCAGAAAGGAATCCAGGTGACCATTGTTTGCCCTGGGCCAATAGAAACATCAAATGCTTCTGGAGCAGCAAGCTCAGAAAATAAAGCTTCTCGTGAGGTTAGCTCTTATTGTCCTTACCATGATCTTGTTATGTCTACATGAAATTGTCCTCCTGCCCCCTGTATGGGTAACAACATGCCGGAGAACCCCCAACTCAACCTACCCCCACCCACCCACACTCACACCTTCTATTTAGTGCAATCAACAGGCATCCTGAGTGGATGACTCTCCACAGGATCATTCCCCAGGATGATATATATGTATGTATGTATTATTCTTTTTTCCCCCTTCTCCCTATGTGTTATTCATTCTGGCTGTGTATGTTTATCTCCAAACATCTAATTTATTTTCATTCATTACTTATGTGCTGCCTATTGGGAGCAGCCTCTCCATAAATGGGGGTAAGGCTAGCCGACATTCACCTCTCCCAGACCCTACGTAAAGCGGGAGCTTTGTGCAGTGGGTACGACGACTTATGTGCTGCCTACTTAACCCGTTTTGACTCGAGAGGGCATTAATGGGCTGGGGACATGTTATAATTTGAACCTCTAGCATTGAAATGTTTCTTAATCCTTTTGTGTTATTTTTCTGTTTTAACAGAAGCGTGTGTCGTCAGAAAGATGTGCGGAGTTGACGATAGTTGCTGCCACCCATGGTCTGAAAGAAGCTTGGATATCTTACCAGGTATTGACATTAGTATCGCCATCCATTGTATAGGTCTAACTACCAAGATAATATGTATGTTATCCTAGTTACGCTTATCCATATTTTGTTATTGATTGTATTGTAGCCTGTGCTGGCTGTAATGTACTTGGTGCAATACATGCCAACTATTGGTTATTGGCTCATGGACAAGGTAATTTCTGTACCTCTGGTTTATCTGTGGTTAGCATGAGTTTGCCCTTTCCTTTTCGGCCGTTGCCTGCATTTCTGACACTGACATGGAGTTGCTGGTTTAATACAATTCCTAGATTGGTGGAAATCGAGTTGAAGCAGCTGCACGAAAGGGGAACACTTACTCATTGAGCTTACTGTTTGGGAAAAAGAAGGCATCATGAATCTTTTGATCCGAAGCTCTATCTTGTTGTATGTGATTTAGCAGCAACCCACGAGACACTGCCTTCTATGGGAGGGGCTACATCGCAACCATGTTGAAGGAAAACATACAATCATATTTACATGTACATCTTTTTTCTTTCCAAAATACCGAAAATGCATTATGGTTTGATTAGGTTTAGGGTTCTGAGGAATTCCCTGACGGACGGATCAAGTATGCCAATATTTCAGCACAAAGCAGTACAAAAATTGCATTAATCCGCCAACGACAGATCCATACATATAATCCATCCGCCAATTCTTGCCCAATTACAGCACCGCAACCGCACCTTTAAGAAGATACTGTAACTTTAGACATGGCTACACCGTTGGTTCTCCAACACATTATTATCTAGCAGTAGAACAAATGTTCATGAATTTCTTGCAAGCTGCGTAGCTTCTTTCAAGGACCTCAAAACTTCCTTGCAGGCTAATTTCAATGCCGTCTTCTTATTAGAAGCTGTTGATGTATGCTTGTGCGTGACCCCATTGGCTTCGACCTCTATTGTAATGGCAGCCTCACCGTTGTGGGAAGTCTTCACGGGTTTCTTCATGTCATAATGCATTTTCTGGCAATGTTCGTTCAACTCTCTTACGGGATGGAGCTTCAACGTCTCTGGAGTAATCAAGGGCTGTAAGAGAGGACTTATACTTTGAAAGACAACCTTCTTATCATATCCAGAATCAACATAAATTGCCCCTGCTAGAGACTCGACAACATCTCCAAGTACCTGTTATCAATAAAGGGAAAAATATAAGACCATCATGTTAGAGAGAGAGAGTTTGATTACGACGTGCAGGCAAAAAGTTCTCTTGTAGAATACATTAATGCATAGATATAAATATATAGGCGGATGACTAACCTTGGGGAATGATGTCTCGGAATCCCATCCAAAAGTCGATTCCGTAGATAACCTCTCAAAGTTTTCAATTGTGTAAACTATATCTTTGTGCAGTTTGTGTGAAGCATGCAGAATGTGCTTGTACAACTCAGCCTTAATAGCAGAGCGAGCATAACAGTCGTTGTTCACAGAGGCAGACCTCATATCAGTTAAGATTCCCGGTGACATCCCAGGATACTCATTGTACAAATATATAGTGATCAGATAATCTAACACAG